TCTAAAAGCTTACCTTTAACTTAATATGTTTTATCGCAAACGAAATATATTCATACGGCAAAAAAGTCTATTAACCGGCAGTTGACTTCTCACTTCAAACTACCATCACCCCACTCTATGCCATATTCGAATATTTCACAGTACTCACCTCACCTTTGTTCTACCTTTGTGTTTGTCTCTTATATCTTTGAAGCACTCTTCTGTTCCCCCCCCCCTGTCGACTTTTTCAATTTGATGTTCCTTACCCTCTGTGAAGCCTGAAGTCAACTAAAGGGCTAATGATAACTATCAAAACGCCTGCCATTTGATATAAATAAATTAATTCATATTGTCCGCTTCTAATTAAGTTTTTCTTCAATTCTCTTTTAGTGTCTTTTGGGATCTATATTGTGCAGCACCTGATAGGCGAGACGTTTTCAAACATTCTCCTGATGCCCGTGCTTTCTATGATTATGTTAGTACTTCTATATTATCTATTTACTCACGTCATGCTTAAAGATTGTATATGCTTAGATTTATCCTTCCTTTCTAATCACTATTAACTCACTTTTTACGCGGTAAATGCCAATTTACAGCAATCATGGAAATAGAACGAGAGAAGCCAGTAGCTTATCATTCGTGACTAGGGTTATATAATATTGTTAGTTTATTTCTGCCATATAATCAGGATAAAGGCCCGTACTTTATTAGCTCATGTTGCCATTAGTATATCCTAGCCAATAACTACTCTCCTCCCTTTTAGGGATTGGCCAGTCCCAGCTTCGTTCCTCCTCAGGTGAACCACTCACGTCTTCCTTAATTTGCTTTTTTAAAATTCAATTTTGTTTGGTGAGAAAATGTGTTTGTGCGTGTATGTGTGCGTGTGCATTATTGTTGGGACATTCTCTCCTATTTGCTTTCTCTTTTCTCCTCAGTTTCGTTTAATACGCATGCATGACCGCACATGCGAGCACCAATGAGCAGATGTGCACGTGAGATCCAATTGCTGCTTGGACTGTGTGATTGGCTGATTGTATAATTCGTTTATATAACACATGTGTGCGTAAGCCTCTATGTTTGTGTGTCTGCCTCACTATCCCTAATTTGTCGGCTGCTTTTATGTATGTGCGCGCACACCACTCACATGTGTCCACTATTTACAGCCCTTCGACGTCGTCACCATGACAAGATATGTAGGACAGGAATAAAACCACCCATCACTCCCCCCCCCCGTTACCAGTGTATATTGATTTTCCCGCGCTTGCATAATTATATTGTGCGTGTGTGGCCTTACCTAATCTTGTCGTACGAGAACATGTATGCAAATAGCAGTTCATTAACTTTCTATCGATTTTCAATTAGTTCTCTGCCTGATAAATTAGGTTAATATGCTAGCGCTTAGTAGGCAGTTAATTTCGCGTCGATTTTCGATAATTATCGTGGAAATATATCCCGTTGAGTATTAATTAGGCTACAGAATTTACAACCCCAGTTTTCATGAGAATTTTGATTTATTAAAAGGATTTCGCGTTCAGATATTTAATAAACTGAACTAGTTGTAATAATTTTCCCAAAATTAGGTTAAAGCAAAGCTTCATTTAAATTAGTAGCAGTTATTTGAAGATCTTTATTGGTTCGTGAATAGCGAAAAATACTTTAATTTACTCGATAAGTTATTTATGCTTAATTCCCAAGAGCGAGCTAACTTCACCATTCACCACTAAAAGGTTGCAGTTAAGTTAATTTTTAATTACCCAACATTGCTACGACAAAGTCGCAGCAATAATCGGGTATTTCATCCCAACCAAGAAGAGTGGGATGGTCAGTTCATTTCCTCAACTTCCTCTCCCCTACTTCATCCTCCCTCACTTTTATTGCATATTGCCACACAATGTATCAATTTTTAATGGCCTAATTTAGTCCACACTGGACAGTGTTTAAAGCTTCATTGTTTAAGTATAAACAGTGCATTTCTATTAGTAAACCACACTCTCATAATCGGTCAATATTTTATCTTTAATTTCTGCATATTAATTTACGATATTTGATTGATTCGGATTGGCAGTAAATCGATACAAACTCTACTGAGCTTTTTATTTCCTCCTTTGGTCACTTATTTGGGCCAGCGTTACGTATTTAATAAGTAAGCGAATCATTTGTGAAGGTTGAGAAGTACGGAGTTTGTCAGGTATACATGAGCGTTAACATCTTAGAGTGCCATTCTTGAGACTGAATCATGAAGGGAGAAAGTAATTCCTTGTTTCTCAAAGCTGAATAAAGCATTCTTAATTGATGTTTCTGGAAAAAAATCCAATTTTAAGGAACAGATATAGACTAAATTCCATAATTTTGGCTCTATCTATGAAATCCCGATTGAAGTTTGTTGAACTTTACTTCTCTTCGTCTGTTTTAGTGTTCCTTTTTTCTCTAATTTATATCTCATAATTGTTTAGTCTTAGACTCAATGGAGGGTAGCTAGAGCTAAGGCATACTTATGAAATATTAGCTTTAGGAACCTTATAGCATGGAAGTGTGAGAAGAAAATATATATAGAAACAGCTATGTGCGCTATTTCTTACTAAGAGGTATATCGGAAATGACGTACTTATTACTTTGGTGAATATCCCTATTTCTAGTAGGTACTTCACTGCTCAATTTTTTACTCTGCCAGTTAATTATGAGACGACTTGATGTATGCTTTTTATAGTCAGGCACTGAAGGTGTGGACGTTGGGGATGACTTTAATGTGCCATTGTTGCTGTGGTGACAAGGCTAAATCTCTTCCCAGGTCACTTCCATATAGGATGGAAATGCTAGTATGAAGTGATTGACTGTTATCTCTTATATAGCTACGTATTTTTATCTAGGACATTTTGGGATTCCGTGCGCATTCGTCCATCTTTGTCTGATAAACTGACTTCACTTGTGTCACAAGTTCTTTTATATTTTAACTACAATCTTTTTTACTGACGTCAGGACATAGTCATGGGAATGATCTGGCGTTATAATAGTTCTTTGGTGCCGCCTAAGGCACGAACTCTCCATTATTATTTGCGTTCTCCTGAGGGTTTTTGTCCTAAGTGTCTAAGTTAATTTTAAAGTTCTATTGAATGTTTTTGATTATCCATTAAATCAAATTTGACTAATTTCAAAATCACGACGATAGCAATATTGTGCACATCTGACACATCAGAAATAGCTAAATGGTGATCTGTTAAATATATGTGAATGGTTGAATTCAATTCCTCTAACGAACAATTTTGGATTTCTTTTCCTCTTCCCAGAAAGAAAACGTTCTTTATCATCATGAATCTCGACAATATTCCTCTTGTCATAGATCTTGTTTGCAGTCACCTTTCATATAATTGTATTTTTCTCATTTTCCTTGTACTTTGATCATCGTCATTATTATTAGGTTAAAAAGAATCCTTTTTCAAATTCTCTCGTTTGGAGTTTGGATAAAGGGAAGTGCACACGTGTATAAATTCTTAAAACGAACTTTAATAAGCACTTTATTTGTTTGTATTTATCCATGAATGGGGTGGGTAGGTTCTGGATGTACTTTCTATCGGAATCGCGCAAGTTTCCACATGTTTACTCAAGTGTTCTTATAATACTGATAATGGCTAACCAGATGGTACGTTCGTTAAATTTTAGTTGTACTCTTAAAGGGGTGGGTTTCTAGTCATTTACCCGGTATCATAAATCTTTTCTGTTGCAGATGTTTGCATTACAGACACTAAATGAAAAGCAGGGCATAACAGGTCTGCCTCATGGAAACTTTGCTGATGGATGACTTAAATTTTTGCTACTCCCAAAATGCAGTAATAAGCCATCGAAGCCTAAGGAGGTTTTATTCGACATAACAAAATCGCAGTATGATAAAGGCTTTAAAGTGTAGTTGAAATTTGGTAATCCAATGCTAATGGGTCAGTCAGTCTCCTTCACTATTTGAAGTTGACGAAGTCTGATGAAACAATAGCTTTGGCAGGTTTATTTTTTTAGCTTTGATGGTCTCCATACCACCTTCCTTATTGGATACCAAAATCGCCGTTTTTTCAAACTCTTTATGATGTTAAAAATAAACCAATTTGATTGTGTGAACATCTAAAAATGGTAATTTGTGTTCTTCAGATTATCTTTTGAGGATGACTTTATTTACATGATGAGAAAATAGCCTTTCATATGTTTCCAATGCTATTATTTCCTTAGATGACCGCTATTTTGTTCAGAAGTAATGAAAATAATGATTAATTTTTGTCTGGTTTACTTAATGGAGCACACCTACTTACTCTCTGGGTGTGGTGAAGCTTGTTTGTGTTCGCTTGTTCTCCTTTCTCTCGTGTGCTATACTTCTTTGAATGACGTTCGATTAATACCTGCACTCAGTGAACACTTTTCGCATGCCCTTTGTACATGTCATAGCTCGCTTCTGTCCATTTGTGAGTTTATGCATTGTTAGATAACTTTGCGTTTGAAATTGTCCACTGTTTTTTTCTTGCCATAGGGAGTCTGTTTAGATAAATGGGAGTAATGGAGTCTTTGTCCAGTCAATTTATTTCTTGTAGTTCTATTTTCGTAAGATCTTAACTATAATAATCTTCCGTCTATTTATTAATTCTTTATGTAATATTGAATTAACTTGTTGAAACCTCTTGGTTTGGAGGAGGAAATAGTGAAATTTTGCCTATGTAATTCTGCCTTTTCACTTATTCACTCAGATTGGTGAGCATGTCGTGGCAGTAATCACTACCTTTTCGTCTCTGATCTACGAAATGCTGTGCCAATTTCCCCTATACTCCCAAGAAGAGTGAATAGAATTTTGCTTTGTGTTCGGATTGGGACGATATTCCTTGCCTTTTTTTAGTTTTCTAATGTACTGAATTTTGTATTCGCTTAAACTTGAAGTTTGGTGGTGTACGATTACTATTTCCTTGATGGGTACTTGCATAAGGTTGAAAACACTATTTTACACAGATCTTGTACATATTTCCCTAAAATTGGGTTTTAGGGTACCAAAAGGCTTTGACTTTGTCTCATTATTTTGTAATTGATTTACTGGTTTCACAAAGGATTCCACAGGCTTCTTGTTTTCTCTAGTAAATGAGGATCTTAAAAAGAATTCTGATGGTAATTCAATTACATTGACTTATTTTTTGACGGTTGGTCATGATATTTTCAAAACACTTCTCTTGGAATGCTCATCGAGAGTACTTAATTAACTTTTATAATATTCATGTGAGTTTGGTATTTTTTCGAATAACCATGTTGATTCATATGTTTACACGGTCCTAGTTGTTAGGCGTTTGTTTTTATTGATCGCTGTTCCGACGGACACAGGGTGAAAATCGGTTAATTCAACTTATTGTAGACAATTTGATATCTGTCACAATCTCGTTTCCACTCGTGCTACACTAACCCGTATTCTCTAATCTCTTCCTATTTATTTTTCTTGTCTTGTAACAATTACTTATCCCTCTCTCTCCCTCTCTTAGCCTGCACCATTGGGAATGCACTATATCCAGGGAAGAAACGGTCCACCTCCACCAATGATTCAACATCAGCAATACATGTCTCCACCTCGACAGATGTATCCTCCTGGGACCTCAAGGCCTAACGACGCCAAGGTTATTTTTCTGATACCCTACACTATATGCACTGATATATATATATATATATATATATATATATATGGTATAAAATTGTAACATTAGTGGTCAAATTGGAAGTCTGTTAAGCCATGGATTACAGTTTAGATACTGAATGTGCATCTAGTGTACGACTTGATCATCTGTACTAGTTAAGCTCCATTCTAATTAGTTTTCTGAAAATGAAATTTCTTTACTACTTTTTTTCGAATTATCAAGAGGTGGGAGCATTCGTATTAATAGAATTCTTTTGCTCTGTGGTAGTGAAAGGGGGGGGGTGAGGAGTGTTTCCTTAATTTTTATTGAACAATCGCATGCATTTAGGATGACTTAAATTTTTGCTACTCCCAAAAAGCAGTAATAAGCCATCGAAGCTTAAAGAGGTTTTATTCGACATAACAAAATCGCAGTATGATAAATTTCTTTACTACTTTTTTCCGAATTATCAAGAGGTGGGAGCATTCGTATTAATAGACCTGTGACATTGGTCGCTGTTGCTTGAAAAACCTCAATTAACCCAGCTGTGTAGCTCGAAATCGTCAATATTTGGATCTGTACATAGCTACAAATGAGGCTCCATTATTTTCAAAACGCTCATTATTTAAGCTTGTCTACCACATTTCTCAAATTTTGCCGCTAATTATTTTCCTTTTTTACTTCAATTCAGTCTTGCCATTACCTATTTCATAGAATTTGTCTTTTCCAATAAATTGCTTGGTGTCATTTGTAAGATCTTTACAGCTGTTGAGTAAATGGTCGGGTTTGTTTTCCGTTCTTTTTTATCATAAAGTCGTACCAAAGGTACATTTTAAACTAAATGTTGTTTTTCCATCAATGTAATAGATTTTGAGTTAGAAGGTGACTAAGGATGATATCTCAAAAACGTGGGATTCCTCAACTATTTGCCTGACATATTTGCGAACCCCCCCCCCCACCCCCGGTTGAATCCTATCTCTAAACTTGAATCAGGTGATAACTGCGTCCAAGCAAAGGTTTGCTGTTTTTTGTATGTTGTTATTCCACATCTTATAAATAAAATCAAATTCTTCGGACGTGCGAAGACAGTTCACCGTAATCGACCATTTTGAAATCCCGTCTTTGTGGTTTTACTCAGCTTATTTATAAACTATTGCGATTACTGAAAATGATTAAGTAGGAAATTTTTATTTTTAATAGATGGCTGGGTTAGTCCCAATGGGTAATGACCAACAACTCGAGGCCTTCCTTTCTTCTTCGACACCTACATTCCGTCAGCTTAACTCAGCTCAGAACATTCCAACACTCCCAATCGCATCTGCACCTTCAGTGACCTTGAGACATCAACCTCGCCCACCAATTGGAGTAGCTCGCGGTGGTGTCCCAGTGATGACCAATGGCAACAATGGAAGCGGGCCCATGAATCCCTCCTCTGTTTCCTCATTCTCAAGTTCACCCTCAAATGGAATGGAATTTCAACCACAACACCAACAATTTGGGCGTGTGCCAAATTTCCAACAACAACGCTCTCTTCCGCTCAAAATGTCGCCCTGTCCTCTTAATGGTTAGTCTATTACCATTATTGGAGCCAAGGTTTTTGCAAACAACATCATCAAGGTGAACGAATGGTTGTGCGTTTTGATCAAAATTTGGAAGAGCCTTGTATTCTTTCGAATGAATTTCATAAATTTGTGCAATAACATCCCTACATATGTCGTGGTTAATTTGAAATAGTGCATTTTTCATTAAAATTATATGATATGTGCTCTTTACTGATAACCCCCTTCTACTTCTGCCGTTACTTGTGATGCCTGAAATATACTTCAAAACCGTTCAATTACCGGTCTTAGTGAATTCATATTTCCCTGATATAACCAAGGCTCCTTCTGTAATGGTTTTTATGTCCACTGGAATAATACAAATTTGAAAATTCATCGCATCATCGTGGAATGGATTCGATTCCACAGATTTGATTTATGGAGAGTTTTCCTTGGGTTGAAATCGTAAATATATTGATCTCTAGTCCCTTTAAGCAAAAAGAAAGCATTCTCTTTTTCTTATTTATTTCCCTAAGGGAGGGAATCGGAATAAATGATCGCCAGAATCAGTTAAAAAATAGCCTTTATTATCTTGTCCTTAGATTCCGTACCTAGAGAATAATGCTTAATTGTCCATAAGGCATCTGTGTATTAGCATTTCATTTCGTTATCCATATATTCAGAGTACTTTGACTTGCTGGCTAAGCTGAGTGGTTCTCAGAAGGGGAACCCAAAAAAATACATTTTCTATCACTCTTGTTGTCTTGTTATGACGGATGTTTTTCAAAATAACAAAAATGTTCTTTATTTTTTAGGAATGCAGCCGGCTCAATGGGGCCCCGGCCTAAGCCAACCGGTCGATTTCATATGTACTCCCCAACCCCCTAGCAAGCTCTCTCCTTATCAAAATGGAGGTGGAATGGTCTTCGATCCCAGTATGATGGATCAAATTGTGGGACCTGAACCACCACCCCAGCAACAAACTCAAGGTCGAAATGTAGGACCTGCAGGTGACACATTTTCCTTCTTTGATCAAGCCGACGGTCTTCAATCCACTTCCTCGATGGATGATTCTGTACAATCACAGTCACAGCAGCAGGCCTCGTCGTCCCAAATCAGTCAACTTCTATCTCCTTCTCCTAACCAAAGATCTGATCCAAACCCTCGATCTGTCGGGACGAAACCAGTCAGCAATATTGAGGATGCCTTACTCCCTGATTTGGACCTTTTGGGAAGTACCGATGGGGACCCAGGAGAGGGGTCAAACCAGACCCCTTCATGTCAAATATTTGATAACGATCCAATGAATGGAAGAGACAGCTCAAGTATGCTCTTTCCAAGCAGTGATGACCTTCAAACGGTCCAGAATATTGTCGACGCAATGCAGGAGAGCGAGGGCGACAGCGGGTGTTTGCAGAAACAGCAACAATCATTCTGTCCGGAAGCAAATGCTCTTTTTTTACAGGATTGAAATCGGCTTTATTTTGGGGGATGTTGCGTTTTGTTGTTTTGGGGGTTTCGGGTGTTACAAGTCTTGTATATACACACTCACACACAAACTTTTGAGTAAATGTTGCGTTTCTCTTTTGTGCCCTCTCTCATTCCTTTCACAGTTGTGTGGCAGCATGTTGCTCCCTTCTTATCTTCCATTTTTCCATTATTATCCTTTCTGTCTTCTTCCAGCCTTTTTTCTTCCCTGGTTCTCTACGCACAGCGCACATGAAGAAGAGGAAAGCCAAACCAAACGACCGCACTCACATACCATCAGTTTGCTCTTGATAAATAAAAATTTTGAAGTAGATCGGTTATTCTGCTGTTATTTGAACTTTAGTGTGAAGCTATTTAATCAATTTGATTACAAATGTAGTGGGCCATCAATGCAGTGTAAAACTGTGGGAGAGCATTTAGGTGACTGAAATCGCCAACTGAATAGGCACTAACGTGAGGCAGTTTGTGCGTGCCTATATCGAATTTTTAAATGGCATGCTAGAAGTGCTACAATACTGCAATTCCATTTCGGAAGAGTTAAAGTGATTTGGCACTAAGATCATGCAGTTCAGGTATCTGCAAAAGTTAATCATCTAAGCTACTTTTCTTCTTTCTAAGCCAATTATAGTAGAACACTTCGCTTAACTTGAAAGCACCTGTTTCAGTTAGCAAAATTGATGTGATTCACAAATTCATATTAATGTTCTAACGACGCCAATTTAATAAGAATGTGGGAACGGTATTGGTATATGAATATTCCAAGGGAAATGCCGTTGAAGCACTTTGAATAAGTTTGCAATGATTGAAATGGACATTTTACTAACGCACATTTTTTAGTCGAATAAAGGTTTATAACTGCAGATAGAGGAAAACTTGAAACAATAAGTTATTTCATTATGTCTTCAAATTCAAGATTCTCTGACTGGAATTACGCATAAACTACTCATTAATAATGGTACTGTGTCGTTAGAATTTGCCAAACTACTCTCAGAATACGAAGGTAAGTCAAAAGGTTCTCAGACAAATGCCATAACTTTAAATAGAATTTAGATTTACAAGTTCAAACATGTCTTTAAAACCTACATAATAACGTACAACTGCCCGATCATTCCATGTAAGGTCAGTATTATGACAGGTTGCATCTCAAAATAGCTATCAATTTTCAACCCTTCATTGGCCAATTTTGAGATCAGCACTAACTTAACACATTTAACTAAATTTGAAACCTGTTCAGATTATGGAGGTTTTATAAGGGGTTTTTTGCGGACTGTTCCAAGTAGAGTAGTCCCTTATGATTTGATTTAATGCTTTAAGAAAAGAGGTAAGAGTGCAACTTGCTGACGACCCACGAGGAGGAAGACCCAACACAGCAAGAAATCAAGATATCTCTCTTGTGCAGAACATAGTGAAGGAACAAGATGGACGAGTTACCATTGAGGAAATTGCCAACGAAGTAAGAAACGCACAAGGATCAGCATTTTACATTCTCACAGGAAATCTTGGCGTGAGCAATCTCTCGGCACGGTGGGTTCCAAAAGCATTGTAGGAACAACAAATAATCCATATAGATGATTTTTCTGTTGTAACCTTGTCAAAGATGGAATCAAATGAAGTAATTTCTTAGGCGCTGTGCTACCATGGATGAAACCTGGATCGGATCTACCAATTTGAACCAGACAACAAAATTCAATAAAATGATTGGCATCCGAGAGAACATCTGGGTTTGCCAAGTTCAAAGCTGAAAGGTCCGTTAAAAAGGTCGTGAAATATCGTGCAAGTTGATAGACTTGCCGAGAATGGACTTTAGCCACTTCTTATAAATATTATACTTGATAGAGTGGCAAATCAATAGAACCAGAAATCAGACAAAATTCAGATATAGATAATAGAAAGCGTTTATAGATCAATGGAAACTGGGGGGGGGGCAATTATGGCTATAAAATCAAGAAAACTGAATGAAGGCAAGTGGGAATTCAAATCCATTGCAATGATCTGCCCTCTTTCAAACGAACATTAGGGCGGTATAAGTGACTAAGCACGAAACACAATAAGGATTCCTGAGATGTTTTTGGGCTTGGGAGAATTAAGCTGTCGTATTTCTTTTTCCTCTTTGCTCGACGAATACTACATTGAAAATTCGTCAACTTAGACTAGATCCCGCAGGCTAACGGGATGCGTTCATTTATAGGAAATGGCAGGCTTTATGTTAGTTATCAATATTCCTTTAGTTGTCTTCAGACTTCACAGAGGAGAAGAACATTAATGTCACAAGAAGTCCAGAGGGGAGCAGAAGAGTGATTCACAGGTGTACAAGTGACAGACACAGGAGTAGAGAAAAAGGTAAGATGAGTACTGTGAAAGTGGTGGAATATGACAAGATGAGTACTGTGAAAGTGGTGGAATATGACATACAGTGAGATCATGGTAGTTTGAAGTGAGAAGTCAATTGCCGGTTTATTGACCTTTTGCCATATCAGTGTACGTTAACCAGGGTGCTCCACATGGAGGTAACTCTCTCAAGCACCTCCTAAAGGGATGTATAAATTTTTCCCTAATCATAACAACTACCATGAATATTCTCCTGAATTATAAGTTCCGTATCTATGAATACAGGTAAATTAGATAAAGCTGAAAAAATGCTGTAATTTGCCTATTAAAGACCAAGTTATACAATTTTTACTTGTATTGTTCACTCCATACTCTCGAAAATGTCATTAGCATACATTTCTTCGATTTCGTTTGGGAACACCTGAAATTATATGGAAGTGGTAAAATTCAATGAGGGATTTAGGTAGTACAACAATTGTTAAGTTGTTAGTTCAAGGCTTCATTTTCCAAATTGTAAATTTCATTATTCATCCCCAGGATTATGGAGTAAATTCTTGTTAACGGCACGGACACATTAATTAATTATATGGTTGACTAAGATAGCAAGACGAACTAGGATGATCTTAATCGAGCAGAACTCACTAGATTTCACTCACTACCAATCTAAAATCGATTGCCAACAAATGCCAGCACAATATTCCGAGTATTCGAGTAAGTCGGATTGCCTCGTACTAAACCACATAACGTTCTGTAGGCCTGCTTGATCTAAACAATAACTGCAATGGTTGAGACGGGTTTCAGAATTAGAGCCCCACCAAGAAGGCGTCATGACGCCACTCTACTCAGGATAGACGTTAGAAACCCCTTCCATAGCTGAACTTTCAAAGCATTACCATTATTATTGGAAATAATACTATACACTCTAGGCAGATATTGACGAACAACGTTAGGTTTACTATAGCAGAAGCAAGCTAAGTCAGTGTGTGAAACTGCTTAAAGCAGGATGAATCCTCAAGGAATTGCTCTAAACTATCAATTGTACCAGTTATTAGCTAAATCTATAATCAAAACTAAGCTTCCGAACCGAAAGAAACACTCAAGCATCTTAATGCCCGGAAGTTTTTAAACTAAAAACCCCAATTGTGCTAAACACACCACCTCGTATTCTTTCAATCGTACCGTAAAGTGCGAAAATGTATTGTTTAAGTTTAAGCGATTGGATGATGTCTCACTCACCATCGCCATTTTCTAAAGAGGTCTTTTTATAACCAAAGTAGAATAATGATACAAACGCATACGATCTTACAAAAAATCAGAGCACATAAGAGTTTATAAATGCTGCGATGAAGAACCCCTTAAAAGGGTTTTAACACACCATTGCAAGAACCAAAAGCTTTACTAACTCAATATCACAACGAATACTTAAGTGAGTGTAGGGAAAAGGGAGGGTAAATACAAACATCAATGTAATTAAATATTTACACATCATTAGAAGTCACAACTTTCTTAAACACAAAGATACAATATGTACAAAAAGCTTCCCATTCAGGCAGAGAGATTGTACCCACAGGTTGTTTGAGTCTATCCTGTTTCTCTTCAACATATCGATAAGCTCCAGGTTCATCTCCAGCCACCAGACTCCTACCACAACACTCCTGAATGGGGCTTCGACTCCGATCTCTTCGAACACCGTTCAAATCCCGTGAACCAATTTGACTGCGACTTCTATCTCTGCGCATATGAGAAGACGAGTCGAGTCCAGAAAGAGACTGATCAGGAGGAAACCAAGATTCAAGAGCATCCATTGTTCTGAGAAGATCCATTCCTTCTGACCTCGAATCTGATGTGACTGTTTTAAAGAAATCAGAGAAGGGAGTTGGTCCCTGGACACATTCCAACCCTAATTCCTCAGCCATAGAAACTAAAAGAGGTGGATATACGAGATATTCAGGACAGTCTACAACACTTTCAAGGTGGAAATGATAACGAGCACCAAAGAGTGCTGGAGGTTTGTCAGCACCCATAAAAGGTTCATCAAATGTGATTTTATAAACAGAATTGCCAAAGGAGCGTTTATCTTCACTTTGTTTTAAATGTCTAATGAGTTCATAGGCATTTGGCACGGTGATAAGTAAAAAACCACCATCTTCAAGAGCCTGGCTGCAATTTTGAAGAATAATTCGTGCCTAAATGTGCATTAAATGAATATAAAAACGTAATTTAAAAAGAAGGAACTATACGTACCTTATCAATAGATTCGAAAGCGTAGTGTAAAGCAAATTGACAATTGACAATACTATACAATTTTTCTAACTTGAGTGGAGTTGTACAATCGTGGACGATAAAATCCGCTGAATAGAGACTTCGACGTCCATCTCTTGAACGTAGAGTTTCATATCGTTCTCTGCAGATGTCAATAGAGGCTGACGATATATCCACAAAGGTAACGTGATCAACCCTACCAACCTGCCACTTTTTCTGATCACCACCTTTACCACAACAAAAGTCCAGAACATTGACGTCAGAATTATGTTTTCTGTCAAATATAAGATCAATATATCGAGAAATTAATGAGCCTTTAATCCAGTTGTTAAGATTTCGCATATAATAAATTCTGGATTTCTTTCTTCGAGATAAAGAAATATTTTTTCTGTCCTGTGCTGCGGCATCGTAAAACCCCTTTACAAGATTAGAAATCGAGACATTATCGCCATTCATCATTTAGTAAGCCGCGGATTATTATACAAAACCTCCCCTCCTAAAACTAATAATTAAAACTAATTATTTGATGTCTAAATGTCTACACACATAAATACTCACGTATTTGTCTTTATAGATAATTATATGTTGACTTATTTGAAAAAATATAAATGTATATCAATTTTTTAAATCAACTTATTCTGCGAAGCCATTTTCTAACTTATATTTGCAATATATTATAAATGTGTGTAAACCCCGCCCCCTCCCCAAATAAATATTTTGTAAAAATCTTCTCAATTATCAAATTATTAGAAAGAAAGTTACTTAAAAAATGTTTTCTAGATTTTTTTCATGTTGGAGATATATTTCACTTCAAGTTCCCATTTCATCGATTTACTCTTAAAAACCCGTCTTGGTTGATCAACATCTTTCAAAAAAAAATAAAAGATTTCCCTTCAGCACGATTAGCAGGAAAGACCGATCCATTTATAACGAATCCTATTAAAACGATTTATTTTTTATCATTTAGATATGTCCTTCTTAAATTAGCATTTCATTTTGAATTATGTGTACTGAGATGCCACTTGACCAGTTAAAATGGAGATGGGTGGACCATTTTGGGATAATTAGCTTTCTCTGTCTACGGCGAAAGAGGAGACAGAATTAAGCCATTAACTATATGTGAAGTTTCGGGATTGTTTAAAATAAATAATTATTTTCAAAGCTGTTCAAGATATGGTAATAAGCATTTATTCTATTCAAAAACCAAATTGTTATTCGGACAACGAAAATGAATTAAGAGTGAATTTACTCCCATTTATCTTATTTTATTCATTAATTCGCGATTAATACAAGTATACATACCTAAAATATAATCGTTTATGCCTTTAAAAATTCACTTCTTAGCGACCAAGCCTTCGATTAGTTAATTAATGCAGTTAACGATTTGGCAGAATTTCAGTAAATTTTGTGTTCGTACGTCAAGTATTCATAAGTTAAAAAGACCAATTAGATCAAAGTGATCAAATTACCTAAATTTAATATTAAATAAATTGACATTGGATGAAAAACTTATTCAAAATGCTGAAACAAGAGACATTCAAAATGTTTTGCGAAACTGTGGAACTTATTAAAAGGATTTTAAGTTGAAAATTACTTAAATAAAAGCTATAATAAATATATGCTCGTTTAAATACTTATTTATACATTCAAAATAATTGTATTTCAGCAATTAAAAGTTACCTTACAGAATTGATGCAAATATTAATACTTTATCACAAAATGCAATAATTAATAATAATATATAATAATTATTCAACATTTATCGAGGCATTTTCTGCTGCTAAAATATGACCTTGTCTTTTGTTATAAATGCTCCTTAACACCTCGAGATCTTAACTTTTTCTTAACGCGCCCTATTATATTTCTCACAATTATCGTAACACACGTTAATGGAGACACTTCATTTCGTTGATTCGAATTCGTCGATACCTTCTCTTTTTGGTTTGAACACGGCGAATTTCAAAATGACAAATGCAGACTCGTCTTCCCATGTACAAAACAGTGATTCCGATTCAAACAATCGACTCCCAACAGCCATCCTTACTAAACCTCCTAACCATTCCTTCAAGCATGTTCATGTTCTTCAGTGCCCAGGATGTCAATTCTCAACTCTGATTTCATTAACATTACAAGGACATATTAAAGCCAATCATCCAACAATTGACTCCTTCACCGCATTTTCCTGTTCGGATTGTGGTGCTAAAACCACAGAGAAAAATTTGCTCGAGGATCACATGAAATTATACCATCCTAATGCTGAGGTATTTTATTTTTAAATGGTTTTCAAAATTTTCACTTTTTATACTTGAATGTTACTTTTTAGCAACCATATAAGTTTTTGGAGCTTCGCCACTCTGTAACATCCTTGGTGGATGTTGTTCCGTTAGACAGTCCTCATTCAACAAATCCGACCAACCCAACCACCACTGCTCAAGCCATACGACCGGAATCTTCCTCACCTCCCATTATCACCTCCCCTCAAAAAACCACAGTTACATCACACGCTTTAGTCAAAGCGGAATCTGCAACTGACGTAACTGAGAAATCCACCAACGCGATTCAAGGGTCTAAAAAACGAAAAGCCCATACTCCTGTAAGTTTTTTTACGCTATAATCCGTATTCTACCGTATTTTCCACTATGGTCATTTGGTATAGTTCTCCAATATTATGCGAATTTGATACACTTATTCGTGTACATTTACCTAGCTCTGGAATTTAATGGAAATCTAGAGTGTTTTCTCGTTTTAACTCTTCATATCATGCATGATTCTATCGTTAACAGTTTATTTGAGTGACTTTATGGCCTTTTGCATAAAAAATTTTATATAAATGTTTCTTTCTTTAATTGAGTTTTGCGTCCAAACGAATTTATCCAAGAATCTCTGAAGGGTCATTATATTTTACTTCCTTAAGCTTGCTAAAATGACAATTATCTTAACAGTTTAGCCTTAAAACATTAATTTAATTGAGGCTTCAAATCTTCAGTGTCGTAGCTGTTATATATAAATAAAAAATGTCACCCATTTAAGGGCCATAGCAATTTTCAGCGGCCATTGGCCGTATTTTAAGCGACCCGTATGTTACGTAATCATTCAGCATGAGTGAGCTTTGGTGGTTAAAATGACATTAACTGATTTGTTATTAACTGCTGAGCTTTCTCTCTCTCAACCCCTATTTATTCATTCTTCCTTTATGTCACGTATACTCTATTTTAACTGTTCGCAAATTTACCATACATTGGCTGTTTGTCTTAAAATAACTTGGGGTAGCTTTAGGAGATTTGAATATTGAGTTAGGAATTTCTTCCTCATCTCACTCCAAATCAGAAAATATATATGAATTATTTTTTTAATGTGTTTCAGTGCTTCCTTATTTTTTCCCATAGATTGTATTTACTGTACCATCAATTTATCCCTTTCAGATAAAATTTGAACATATTATCCTCAATTCTTGAGTAGCAGTTTTTCGCTTCAAATTACTTTTCCTTTAGCTTAAGATGAGCACATTTCATCGATATAAGCCGTTGTGTAGTGTGCGTGTAAAATAAACTAATCAATAATTTGGCCACCAAAGTAAATATGTTCTCGTAAGGCCAATTTTATTGAATAAATACTCGTTGCACCTCTGAACTAATTTGATTGAATTTAATTATCAGAAATTCAACAGTTGTAACCTGGTCTGTAGAGGCCCGTTCACCTCAGGCATAAGCCTAACGAGCTAGGGGGGGGGGGAGGGCTGGTTAGGCGAAAAGCCATGGCTTTGTTCACCGAGTCACATTCGTCCACTAAACGCTCCTTTTAGTTCACGTCTCCCCCACCCCCTCCCCTAAACCACCTATGGGTATCTAGAGTCTGGGTATGTATGCGAGCTAAACGCACCCACTCGGGCCCCCTTTCCCCGGAGTGAGTCATTTCACAGTCGCAGTTTAATCCACGTCTCAGCCTATGAGTGGGACCGAAAATTCCCTTAAATAGCTCAGCACATTCACCTTTGCGCTGTACTATAATCACCAATGAGCACGTCACGGTACCTGCTCATGCGCTAACACGTGAGACTTCTCAAGCGCTCTCCATTTTTATTGGTCATCGCATCCTACTCGCAATTCTATTGGTTTAATATTAGAAATGAATCCCAGTTTAACATGATTATTATTATTTCAAATGACAGACTTTATGATATTTATCATTAGCCCTTTAGTTGACTCATGCTTTCACAATGGGAGAGGAACACATATTTAGGCTTCAGGATAGTTAACAATAGTTCATTAGTTGTCTTCTAGCTTCCAAGTATCTCTGGGTTTCTGTCGCTGTCTTTAGGGATGGACACCGAATCAGTTGGGTCTTCTTCATTTCCTCCTGTAGGTCACATAGGGTACATGTTGGTTGAGCTTGTACTCCTATTTTGTGAAGATGCTTCGCCAAGCAATCGTGTCCGATACGTAGTCTAAACTCAGCAACGTCTTCGATTCTTGGCCAAAGTTAACTCAGCAACGTCTTCGATTCTTGGCCAGTCGGCTATGTCGATGAGTGTAATTGTTCACTGTTTCTCCTTTGTTCGAACTGTAAGTTCGTTGCACCTTGAAGTGTTTAATTCTCTTCTTCAAGATAAGGTTTGTAATAACAGCGCTCATGCTGATATGCAAATTGAGTGGGAAGATGGTATAACCCAGTATTCGTGATCTCATTAGCCAACTTTTCATTCCCACAACATAGTGGAGTGTTTGCATGCATTATCTTTAGAGAACGAGGCTAAATGAACAAATGCGATTTTAGAAAAGTTTGAGGTCTCTCCTGCTATGAGCGCAAAGTCCAATTATATCTATTTCGCAATCCTAGACTGTTCAGCCTACTTTCTGTTGAGCTGTAGCAATATAAAACTTGTATGCACGCAGTGTTTTGATTACTTAACTCAATCCTATGATCAAAATATCTAGTATCAATGGTTTGAAATTTGTAGGCAAAAAAGTACCTTTGAAGTTTAAGTTCTGAATATGAATTGATTTTAGCCTGTAGTCAGTACCCTTTAAATATCTTTCCTTATCCTAAACAAACTCAGAACTTTAATAAACAACAAGCCTTGACTTACAACTGCACCACTGACAACACAGCATCAGTATGTTTATGTGTTCTCTTGGCCCGGATGAGTGCTAGTTAGGAACTATGGTAAGCTAACGTAGGACTTTGATTATATAAACTGTAATCACATGCTGCTGAGAGTGTGAGGCGAGCGAGTCCAATTCAATTCTCAATTTTCTCTTTGTGTCCGTAGGCATACAAATGTGCGCAGTGCTGCCACGGCCAAATTTATGCAGTCTAATACACCGGATGAGATGAGAGTTGTACTACTTTTAATGTAAACAGACTCGTGCTGATTGAGAGAGAGAGAGAGAGAGAGCATTTTTATATACCTTCAATCACACTCAGCATCATCTGTAAACTCTTTGTCCAATGTTGCTTGGTTGATTCATCTGGCTCATTTCATAATTTTGATCACTCTCGAAAGGTAAAAGTCCTGCATCATTAGAATTGATTTGGGCGCAAGTCCTTTGGCCACCTTTGTTGGGAAATCATCCAAAAGGGAGACTTATAATCTATTTACTTTATTCTTTTGTACTGTTTCGGTTCAAATGAGATTTAGTTTATCCGATGTTTAAAACTAACTATGCGTTTTCACCATTTGGGGCTCTCGGGTGTTTGTTTTTCTAATAATAACTGTCCTTCTTTACGAATAGCATGATTGATTAGTCATTTAATCACTTCGTCAAGCATCTGAACATTTAGGTCAAATCCAGAAATTTGGACTTTGGGGCCAGAATATAAGGCTATGAACCTTATGTATTATGATAATTATGAACTCGATGATGAAATTAAAATTGAAATATTTTGATTGTATTTTACTTTCCCACATTGTTAGTTAATTACTGGATAGTTAAACACATTCCTAGGCCACTTAAGCTCAGTCGAAATTCTAAATAAGTTGGTTGCATTTTTGAGAGGAAATTTTTCAAGGTTAGAGTAACTTCCGTTGAGTAGACAACTCCTTGCGCTCGTCACTATCGAGCGAGTACTCAAAGTATAGGATGGAGTAGGAAATAATTAGCTTCTAACAACTTCCGGTCTTTAGACCCATATCATGCATTTACTCTAGTCATGAGCACTAGCACTATGACCCTATAACTAATCTCTACGCAACAACAAAAATCCATTACAATTCATGGTTTTGCCTTTAAGCCTCAAGTGTTACGAGACGTGTATAGACATATGGGCATTTACGTGCACTATGAGATGAGGTTATTAACACCACAAACGACTATGTTATAAAGCTAGACACGAGTCTTGGTGATAGTGCCTTCTGTGCTTGCTAAACAACATATGAGAGCGCAACTGTTTTGGGTTGGGGAGGCATTTTGCACGTTGCTGGGTCATTAATTATATTTTGTCCCTCTCCCAACTCTTCTAGTATCAACAGTAACAGCAGAGTGTTTGGAACCATTACTTGTACTTCTGCCTCTCACCATCAAAGGCCTGAGGCTAGGTGGGTGTTTGCATGTGCCCATACATAGTAGCATTAGCAATTCATCACCACCGTACCTATGGGCGAGTTAGTTGGGTGGGCGTCTGTGCTTGCCTGCTTGGGTGCTGTGGCCGTGTGCAGACGTCCGAATCACGAGTGCACCCAAACATTATTGATTTTACTCGCACCGCACGCAGCTCTCCTCCCAGCTTCATAATCCCCCAGTGTGTGCCTGCGCGAAATTGCTCGGACAAAGTGCGGTGTATAACCGAGCTGCGTGTGCGCCCACAGCGCGCATTATAACCAGATTATGACGCGAAAACCTTTTCTAATGCTGTATCTCTACATATATATAGGTGGGTTTGGAAGGGGATAGAGGAGGACAGAAGTAGAGGGTGAGGAGTTACAATTGTCCATTGTTCTGAACTATTTTGTCCTCTCTGATGATGCTGCTAGTACATCCAACTGCTTATATTCTATAACTTTCCACTACCGCCAACGCAAATGGACAATCTTGAACTTTCCAACAAGCACTCTTGACTAGGGATTGGCCCAGGTTGTTTTTAATAAAAATATCGAGAACAGTGCCTTTTATAAGTAAGAGTTGAATGTGGAGATACTTAGTTCCAATAGATGGAAAGAGGAAGAGAATCGCCGCTGAAATTTTTTATTCCTGAAAAAGCGAAAGTTTCCTTTGATCTTGAGTTTTGTTGCGATGCAACTAACGTTTCCCTTCGAGCTTCAAAACTCATACTTTTCATGAACATTTTTGTCGTCAGGTAGGAGACGAAAGCATGTATACAAACATTGGATTGCTTTAGCTCTCTCATTCTCTTCTGCAAAGCCACTGGACTGATAAACAAATTAAAGAAATTCGATAATAATCAACTGGCCTTTATAGATAGACAAGTTGAGCCGTTTCTTGGTCCAAAAAAAGTTTAAGAGTTACAAGTATATTTGTAACGTGAATTAGTACAATATTATACCTCAACTTTGGTCTATTCAACGCACATTCGATCAAGTTGTTTATATTATTATGAGAAAATGGAATTGAGATAGAAGTAATTATTTATACATTCGATTTGCACCTGCATTTTGAGATGTGGGATCCCGTGTGTTGTGAAGTTCTTTATATGTCGGGTATTTACTAGCACTCCCTACCCCGAAACTTTAAGCATAAACCCAGCAACCAAAATAAGGCCTCCTAGTGACTCAGGAGTTGGGCAAAATGCAGCTGCTTTCTCAAGGAATTTCCACAGCGCACACTTACTAACTCCCTGGCACAAAGGTTTAGAGAGCTTTACACACAAAATTTGTACACACGTGGCGCTAGGAGCGAAGTGCTGTTATATCGATTGCTTCTTTTCTACTCGTAACTCACAGACCACTCAGAGCTTAGGGAGAGGGAGTGAAAGGGGAGTTGCTTGAATACAAACACTCACTCTCTTGCTTAACAATCGTGACGAGCTCAAAATGCACGACTGCTACAAATTATTCATCCCTCTCCTCTTCCTTTAACAGTCACTGCTTTAACTCTACTTTTCTATTTTGGCTAAGAACGAGAACATGTATCGCTATAACTCAAGTGGTGAATTTGCAAATGAGGAAAATACAAGACGTAAATAAATACCTGTTTCTTTAAAATATCTCAAATGGTTTTCTTATCGTGTTGAAAATATCATTTTTTCCTTTTGTTATTGAAATACTAAATTTCGCTTAAAGATGTGACTTAACACTTTGTCTTTAGGGATGATACAGTGGACTCAATCGACTAGGACTATTTAATCAATTCGCGCTCTTTAGATGCTTCTCAATGTTGAGAAATTTACATTCTATTGATTTATTAATTATAGCTTTGTTAGTGTCTAGCGCCATCTACCAATATGAATCTTTACTGAAAATAAGAGAGATCATAGCACTATTCTATTCTCCCTGTGTTTTGCTTCTAATTTGAATTTTTTGCCTATTTATCATTTATCTGAATAAAGGGTAATTCTAAGTTCTTGCTTCATAGTGTTCATTTATTTACTATTAACGTCTATATTTATTGAATTAATCAAAATTTTAGTAGTAAAAATTATTAAATCGTGGTAATGTTTTCCTAACCTCATAGTAATTAGGTTTAGAGGAAACATGGTGGCATTTTAGCGAATCGTAAATTAGTCATTTTCACTACTATTCTAAACTTGACTCCAATTAGTTAGCGTAGATTCCCTAAGGGGTAGGTGATTGGTTGAGAAGTGAGTGCGCACATCACCGCCTTAGTGTGCTCAACCAGTGGGAGTTGAGTGCGTTTATTAATGAGCGCCTAACCAATGAACGATGGGAGCAAGGGATGTGAGTACATTTTGAGCTCAACTTTAGTTCAATTTTGCTCTTGGCTATGCTCTCGACTAGTAGCGAATATTTCTCAGCGTTCGTGGTATGTAATGTATATATTTATATTTCATATACTTATTATCTAGGGAAAAATTACACCTGCTGCTTTACCAGTGAATGGTGATGCTGAATACTCTGCTGCTGAATCTGAGTCTAAGCGAATCAAATTAGACAAATCCCTAGAACCGAATGTTGAAATAGATACAAAACCGGAGGGTAGCAGCACTTCTCAAAACGAGCTTACATCGAATGCCACTTCAACAACCATGGTCTGCACTGTAAATGGATTCATGGAAGCTCTGAAAAACCGGCAGCAACTAGCAAATGCTCAACAGAATGCAACGGCCCCAAAAATTACAACCACCTCCATTATGATGGACTCGAATGTGGCAAAGAATTTGGTGAATCAACTGCTGGCCTCCGCACAAGGAAAGATTGAACTTGGCGCGTCTCCATCGTCGTCAACAAATCAAGCCAACTTATCTGTTGATCAAGCGCTGGATATGTCGGTATGTTCTCTCACGTAACCTTATGTAACCCACCCTTTCCCATGTCCCTTCGTTTTAACACAGTTCACCTGAGCTAAGATTTCGGAAAGGCGATTAACATGGGATGATTAGGGCATGACTAATAAATTGGTGACCTCAGTTTTGAGAGCGAGGCTCAATCAAAATGTCATGACTTCGATTGCTAATTGAGACAATATTAAAATTAACCAACGTATATTTCAGTAGTGCGTTGACATTTTAGAGATAATCTGTTTGACAGAAAATCAAATTATACTCCAAGAAACAATCATAATAATGGGTGCTCTGAAGCTTTGAAAGAAAAGCTCAATCAAAACTAACTATTCTACATGTAAGCCGAAACCACTCATCCTAGGTCTGGGTAGAGGTTATCCTAATACTTATGCAATCTCAGTTTTTTCATGACCCAACGCATAGGAAAAAACGCAAGTTTTAATTAATGGACGACCTCGGAACTCGTGAGGTGGAAAAGTAGCCCAGTTATAGGTCAAAAGAGTGGAATTCAAATTATGTCATGCTGATTTTTGTGCTTTCATCCCTGAGTTAGCTTGCGTGTTAGTAAGTTTCGATATTCAGAGCTCGTAGATCAATTAATTGATTGAATGGTTGGTCATGTCAACTTGATTCATTTGCGTATAAAATTACCAGAGGCATTAATGTGAATCCAGAGGTCACTTGAGTTCAAACTAGGTGAACTCTTATAAATGTAAATACTTTTATTAGCTTTGACATGATGCATCTAAATCCCGATTTGAGATTGGTTGATGTTATGTGAAATGGCTAGTCATTTGATGACAAATTAATTTGTGAAATTGCTATGACCTTAGAGTCTGCGCTGGGGGGGGGCAAATCAATACAAATTTCATGCAATTCCGTTTGAACAGAATGACCTCCCCTCCCCCCCCCCAATATCTATTGTTGATATCTGATTAAAATGGATGCCATTATGGGACGAATTATTTCTAACTTAAAGTTATTCCATGCATGACGCACATAAGCCATAAGTAAACTGTCTTAAATAAGCTTATTTTAGAGTAAGGAAGTTCTTATTTTCTTTCTACGTTATCACCGGGCACCTAAACAAGTATTTCTCCTGATTAGAATATTTCCCAATGACCGTTTTATCCCACTTGGGGCTCTGTAAATTTTGGTTCCTGGCTAAATGTGTAAATTTGAAACTTTCATCTTTGTACTACCATGTGTCTGAAATGGACTTTTTAGGGAAGTATGATTGAAATAATAGCGTATAACTGGACCTTGTATCTATGCTGCTATTCTCTCAATCATAAAACAGGTGTATGGAGGCCTACAAGATGATACGGTATTCGTATCCTGAGTTGCTACGCGAATACATCCAGTTGAGTTTTGAGCGTCATTCACGTGTCGATGCGCATCAAGCTGCCTTCGAGACAGGTGGTTTAGTTCATTTTTGAGTCACTAAGGCTTCAGTAACCGCACTGTCTCACTCATCATTTTCCCCTCTCCCCAAAACACGATAAATAGTATAGAGCAGGTGAGAAATGACTACCTGTGTGACCCATAATATTCCACCGTGTGGCGACCGGGTATGCATTAACTAAATTGCCCCCATTAATTAAGATCCTTATTCCGTAACAGAGAAAGGAAATAGTGAAATCAACCCATTTGTGTCTGAATAATTTCATTCATTTCATCTACTTTAATTTCTTGGAGTCTCGATTATTGACATAGGTGGAAGTTTTGAATTTCAACACATTGTACAAGTTATTTTATTAATTTCTGCACTTTGAAAAAAATTAAATCAACTTCTAAGAATCATGACTTTCTAGCCATGTCTTGATTACTTATTATACGTAGCAAGGCTGCTTGTTTCACATTTCAAACCTTGTTATCGCTTTAAGCGCACTAATCAGGCTTAGATTTCATTTAATTTCCCTTCTGTGTGTGTGAGAGATGCAGGTAACCTCCTGGGAGAGAGAGAGGTGAAAGGGGAATGTAAGTTGTATGTATCTTCTGATTAGGTCATGCTTCTCTCTCCTCTTTTTTCCCAGAAGTTTAGATCCGGGTGAAATGAAACATGAATTGAAAATGTACAACTTTCTATTTAGTAGTTTAATAAGTTAGAGGGGAGGGGGAAGGGAATCCTATTCATAATTGTATTTGAGAGAATTGGCGAACCTCAATTAGTAGACTTCGATTACACGTTTTACCACTTAATCAATCCAATAGAGCACCGAGTGTTAGATCTGAATTTGTTTTCTCAGTCATAATCCTTTCAGAGGACATTTTGCCTTAAGTCAAATGCGCACTAAACATCTTGACTTTTATATTAAAGATGCTGCAACGGTTGCTAAGCCCATTTGCAAAGTCAAAGGTAGAGGGGCTCGTGGAATTGTCAATGATGGGGAAAGAGCCATTCACACTGGTTCCGATTGACCAATACAACGGTTTCTAGCCCTTATTTTTCAGTCCTCCAATAAATACAATATTTGTCGGTATTGTTCCAGGTCCGAGTTAATTTTATAAAACATGTTCTGTAAAAATAGGACATTAATGTCGAATCGTAAGTGCTATGCCGTTGTCCTACAGCTGCAACTAAGATCCTTAATTACAGAAATGTAAGTGTGGGCAGTAGTGCGGTAAAGTTGTTGTTGCGTCAGGCAGGAGCCCAATTTTCCCTAAGATCTGAGGTTAATTTTCATGAGGGTAATATTTTAGCACACTCTTGTGGGTTGGTTGATGATTTTCTGTGCTGTGTTGTGCTGCGTGCTGCTGGGAAAGTAAGCATGATGTAGAGAAAGAGATGAAGGGAGGTAAGGGAAAGCTGAGGTAAGACAACCACCCTCTCTCCTGCATCTCCTCTAAACAGCCACAACGCACACGTTCGAACTGCACCCATACGCACGCGTAGAGGCCATATTGGTGCTGCTACTGCTGCAGCACATTGCACACTGAGCTCTCGCTCTCTCTCATTGGCTCATACACGCAGGACGAGGCGGAAAAAGTGCGCTAGGGCCTGACGCCCGATCGATAAGTCTCCCCTCTCTCTATGTTGTGCAGGAACACACGAACTTCTCCCCTCTCTCAGGTGTGAGAGGTTGTGTGCGTGCTGAAGAGTGGGGGAGGGGGGGGGGGGGGTNAAGGGGGGGGGGGGGGGGGGGGGGAGTTGGGATTAGAGATGTAGGCTCTATTAATGTATATGGAGCCTTCATTCTCCAACTTAGGTCGCTGCTTCTGCTGACTCACGCTCAAGGCTAAGGGACTGACTGGGTGTACACGTGTGCCCATCTCTTCCTACTCGCTTTGATTCCATCCTAGCTACCAAAAGAGGAGAAATATATTTATTCATTCAACGAGCTTAATGAGAAGCAATAAACTGAATAATCGCCAGCAGTTAGTAGGTGTCTAGTTTACAAATGGATGACTGAAGGGCAAAATCTAGGTCTTGAGAAGGAGATTAAGAAAAAGACAATCTATCTAAATTAGCCCAATTTTATTTAAATTGTCTACCTAATCGATTATTCATAACTTGTATTGAATTAATTGAGATCGAATTTTTCAAAAATGTATTGATTAAACACAGTTCATGCAAAGCCAAAACGTAATTTATTTTTCCCACAAAATGAGCTCAATTATTGTTTAAAAATTTGCTTTTCACATTCCTTAAGGAGGTTGGAATTTTTAATCCCGGGTTTTTCGCAATCCGTCTTTATTTAATGAATGCTATTAAGGCTGTAATAATGTATATGTATTATTGATTCGGTAGATGAGATCAACGCTAGAGCTAGGACAACAACTACAAGCTGGCTTGAAGACATCCGAGCTGAAACTATCCGATCTAATTCAAACAAACCAATTCAATCTACGTGGCCTATTGGGTGGACAGTCGACGGTAACGACAACGCTAGGAACTCCTGGTGTTCAACAAATTACCATCGGCCTTCCCACTTCAAATACACCAACAAGTCAGACTACCTCTATGCTTGATCCCGAGATCCTCAAGCAACTACAAAGTTCATCTCAGATGGTTAGCCTTTCTCAAGTACAAGCATTACTCTCTCTTCTCGGGGGTAATAAACCAATAGTCCAGACTCCAAAAGAGATCTCCACTCTCGATGATATCCTCACGTCGCAAATGCTTCTTCAGGGTAATCCCTCCCTGGTCTCCGGGAGTGTTAGTGGTATATCACTGCCTCTTGAAGGACTCAGTTCGAGCACGCTCAACTTGCCGACAACTGCTGGAATCACTTTAACTGGAAATACCCTTAAGGGATACCCCTTTTCAACTGGAGGACGTGAGTACAAACTTGAGGAATTAAAAATTATTTATGCATATGTGAGCTCAGTTGCTCAAATCAGAATTGCTAATTTAGCGTGTATAGGCCTCATCGATTTTGTTGAACATACTCAGCGTGTACTTGCGTGTGTGTGTGTGTGTGTGTGTGTGTGTGCATGTCATTAATTTCCAATTTTCTTCCTCTGTTTTAGTTATTCCAGTGACTAACTTTTCACCGGGACAAACTGGTGGTCTCGGAACATTCTCCCTAGCAAATTCAACTTTACCAAGTAGTCTGGCAAGTTTTGTGACGAGCTTAAGTGGAGCTTCACAAGCTACTCAAGCCATATCTACTTCTTCCGGACAACCAACAATTGCTACAACTCAAAATCTACCATTCGATGGTAGCATATTTTTGAATCAACTTAATCAAACAACAACCGCTACCACTCAAGGAAATCTCCAAATTCGTCCACCTATTCAAGCTATAGCCACTAATGGGGGTAATCATACGTCTGTCACTATGGTGGCAAATGACAACAATTCCCCACAAGTGGGCCTACGGGGAAGCAAGAGCAATTTAAGCTTGGATGACCTCGCTACTACTGATACGGAGAATTCTGGAATTGGAGGGGGAGCGGGTATGGATGAGAGTGTCGACAAAGAGAGCGGTTCCTCTCCCTCCACAAGTCAGGCTGGTTCTAGAAGACCGAAGTCTGGAGGTCGTCGTAGTAGTGGAGTTGGTTCACGGCCCCATCGACAAAACTTCACTGCTAATCAGAATCGAATTCTCAATGACTGGTACAACGAACATCACTATAAGCCCTACCCTTCAACTGAGGACACCAAGCACCTATCTAATTTAGCTGGACTTACTTACTCTCAGGTAAGAGGTAGTGAGCGGCTGAGAGACCTTCTAGCCCTACCCTCCATCTTTTCCCATTCGTATTCGTAAGCGCCTGCGCATGCAGGCAAGAGCGCTGGGCATCTACCTGGGTGCCAGTACGCACGCACTGTCCTCACATTGGATTGGTTGATGTTTGGAAGTCCAATAGAGGCTTAGCGACCTCAGCACACTAACACACACAGAGTGATACGTAGCGAGTGGGTAGGAGAGTATTGATTTAAATATGCGAGCAAGCTGCGGGATGGGGAGATGGAATGGGATGGGGAACAGACATACACACTCGGACAGGCACACACGTGTCCGACATATAGAGAAGGCAGAGGCAGAGAAGGAGGGTGTATATGCGAGTGTGGTTTGGGCCCGATCGATATGCATGCGTACGTGCGTGTGCGTGTCGCCGAAAGCACGCCTTTGCATCCGAGGGAGGGAGAGAAACCACGAGTGCCAAATCTTTCTTCTCTAACAGGCGCCTATCAATCTATCATGATGTCATTAAAGCTCTCAATAAAATAGCTCATTGTAAAGTTTCTTACTTCATTTAAGCCATTGGTGCGATATATTTTAAGAGTCTTCTTGAGGAAGTCGGGAAGTGAAAGAAGAAGTATTGAAGTTAGAGCATTGATAGTCTCATCAATTTTATTAATTAAAGCATCAAATTGTCCATATTCACATTTGCGGTACAGTTAGCCGTGTGGTCCAAATGTTTCGCATTCATGGAATTCATCGGCAAAAGTCATGAATGAAATCTTTTCTCAGCAGTTGGTCATGCCATCTTGATCTATTTCTATCTATAGTCAATAACAGGTGGTATTTTGACCGTAACAAGAGAGAAATAAAACATTAGGCGACATCTTCCCCAAACTTTGGGTCATAATTCTACAATACTACAGTCTTCACGAAGGTAATATAAATGGCTTTATTCTATAACTTGTTTATAATAGCATTAAAATGACGTCTAGATTAATTTTACATCATATCGGTCTTTTGAGAAATGTTCCTTCAGTATGGAGGAGTATGAACTGAAGAAAGCATTGCAAATCGATGACAAACCAAAAAGCCTCTCTCTCCCCATGAACCCATTAGCAGACACTGATGTAGTGTGTTGCACCCAACTGCTTGACTACTTCAGGAAAATAAACACCCCTCCAGAACAAATGCGCTCACTGGCCCTTGGGACAATCAATGTCAACTATCCTGCAGATCAATGGCTCCAAGTCTTCACTGATGGGTCATACATAGAAAACCAAGCAAACGTTGGTGCAGGTATCTATTCTGAACTCTTCTCTTTCTACGCAGCAGTGGGACACAATAGATCCGCTTTCGAAGGAGAAATAGAGACCATTAGGATAGCACTATGCCAATTATGTTGCCTGGATACGAAATTCACCAAAGCGGTGATACTTTTGGACTCACAGTCAGCAATAAACTCAATTGGAAGCAGAGAGTCACCCAAAACAGCAGAGATAAAGGAATGTAGAAAGCTCTATGAGCTGCTGAGAGAGAAAAACAAAACAGTGGTCCTACAATGGATTCCTGGTCACTGTGGCATTAAAGGCAATGAGCTTGCTGACACACTTGCTAAGAAGGGGACAACGATTTTGGAATGCATGGACCGGCCGATGTCTTTCCACACAATGAAGACCTTAATCAGGAGAGAATTCAAGACCTCAAGGTACAACGAACTTAAAGCTCGAACAAAGGAGAAACAGTGGACAGTGGCACTCACTGACATAGCCGACTGGCCAAGAATCGAAGCTGTTGCTGAGTTTAGACTACGTACCGGACACGATTGCTTGGCAAAACACCTTCACAGATTGGGAGTATACACTCAACCCACATGGCCCTATGTAACCTACAGGAGGAAATGGAGAAGACCCACCTGATTCGGTGTCCAACCCTAGAGACAACGACGGAAAGCCAGAGATACTGGGAAGCAAGAAGACAGCTAATGAACTGCTATATATGTACCCACCACCATTGGGGGAAGCTGAAGTCAAGCAAGGGTCTAATGATAAATATCATAAAGCCTGCCATTTGAAAAATAATAATAATAATATAGGATTAGGTTTAATATTTTTGGAATTATTCGGTTATCTTTAATAATTTTAGGTCAAAAAATGGTTTGCAAACAAACGCGCTAGGACATCCAGTAACGGAGTTCCAAGGCCTTTGCCACCAACAACGTCTCAAGAAACAGCTCCTGTATCAAATACTGATACGACTGTTGCGGCAGCACTTTCAGCGGCAAGATCCGCGGCGGCAAATCTTCTTGCATTAACAACAAGTACAACAACTACAACCAGCATCCCACTTCAAGCTGTCTCTCAGGCTCCAATGAGTAGCATCATAGTTCCTTCAGGTCTGATGTTGAGGCAAAGCGGGCTTACAGTACTGGCTCCACGACCTCCTACTACTCAAGCGACTTCAGTAGTAGCTACCTCCACAGAACCATTAAGTGAGGAAACAGCCAACCATATTCCAACTTCTCCATCTAACGAAGAGACGACACAACCCGCTGCATCATCGGTTAAACATGAGGAGGGGAATGAGGAAAAATCTGCCTCCGATTAGAGACGCAGAATCTTGAAAAATAATAGCATTTACATTTCTTGTCTAAATCCCATGACATATTCGATTTTTTCCCTTCTCTCCAAATTTCCAGCATATTTATAGTCTGTATTGAATTCTCTCTATATATCTCAATATGTATTTAGCATGACTTGAACTCGCCACCGGAATCACCCCATTTTCCCTTTTTCCGCGTATTTATCTCTTCTTACTGATATTATTTAAGTAAACACGTTATGCGTGTAAGCATTATCAAAATTGTATAGGTAATAAATGCATGACAACCACAAATGAAAAGAATGGAAAGTCCCGCTACTACTTGCATTGGGTTTATAATACTTTCTTCTTATTCTTTCCTCACTCTCACAAACCTTTTTGTTAATTTTTTTGAAATTGTGATACCTCTTACAGTACTTACCCTATCAAATCCCGGCCGAAATAGTCAACTCCGAAATACTTCCATTCTATAACTCTTCTTCTTGCTCAGCATACATTTTTCCCCTTCTCTTGGTGTCACGTAATCTGTACAATTTAAGGAACTGCCAGTCAATACAGTTCATATTATGCAATTAATCCCGAAGCATTTTTAATCGCATTGGTGATAGGGGCTGGGACTAATTTGAGTAGGAATTTGTAGAAAGAATTATGCCTGTAGCACTGATGAAGTAGTATATGAATAAAAAAGGCAGTAAAATGAACTTTGTAAACCATTATTCTGTTAGATTCTTCAGGCAAAGGTAGAGCAGTAAATTCCAAATCCTTTAGGCCTTTATTTGGTCACTCTCAACCACGGGAAAACATTAGTGCAAGAGTGAAACAATAGTAAAATATACCTATTTGATCCAATGAAAGCTATCATCTTTATTACTATCGCATGTGAAAATATAAAATATGTTTGATTTTAACACGCGATGGCACTGAAGAAGGAAAAGGTGCCAGTTAGGAACTACACAATAAAGCCTAAGTGTCAAGAACCTTCAGGAGTCACTTAGTTGTCCACAGTCTCATAAGTAGATTCTTCAAGTTACTATTGTCTAAATATGTCTAAATTCGATTTTCATGGATTGTTCCTTGGGTTGTAGGATGATTTCATTTCGATGAGAGGCAGCTAGCCCAAAGAGCATTTCAATTACACTTTTAATCCCTTAGGAATTGTTTTTGTTAAGATAAGTTCAGTATTTTTCATGAACCTTCCGAATGGATTATGGGAGTATGTGACTGAGTAAGGTAGAACTTTAAAATCGGGAATATATTGTACAGAAACGAACGCTAAAGCTTATTTGAAAATGGAAAACCTTTGAGGTATGGTTGTAAATATTACCTCATTTTCAACGATTGGGACAATTTTCATACTGTCTAAAGCCCACCTTCTGATGTGTGTATGAAAATTTATTTACAATTCATAATTCACCATACTTATTAATGAGTAACACAAATGTTCATTAGTAGTAAAATAAATTCATCTCACCACCTATTCATTTTTGCAAGATGGTCTGCGACAAACAACTCCAATATCAGGGTTGTCATGGGAGGGATAAAAAATAGTACAGCGTGTGGATTCGGGATTGATAAAAAAATATAAACCAAATGAATAGTCACCAAACTCAAAAAGAGATACAAGTTGACAAGAGGGATTACGACTGAGAAGAATCATTTTCTTTTTTTTAATGTGGCCTTTGAATTCACGGTTTCTTTGACTTGGTGGCTAAAAAACATTCATGCGCATGCAACTTAATGCACCTTAAAGAAGGGGCACAATTCCTCCAGAAAGATGTTGAAGGTATTCAACCAAAGACTTATTACATATAGCGAATTAATAAATACGTATATTATTCCCCACAGTAAAGAAAATGTAAACTCAGGGAATATGTGAAAATCATCTTGAAATAAGCAAGGAAGTTATTTGTTTCGTTTCCCGCTCGCTTCACGACTTCCAAAGGCTTCAAGTTTCAGTTTGCGCCCCTCATTTCCTTAATTGATTTTATTCCATTTGAAAGTAATAGATCTAAGTGAACATCTGGTCATGAGGGTCCTAACCAAATGAGAACATTCCAATGGGTAAGGTCCATTGAAGGAAAATTCGTAAGACTTATTATTTCAAGTCTTGGGGAACCGTTGGAATTTTTGCTGCCGCAAATCTGAGGATAGCGGTGTAACCACTTACCAACCTTGTTAGCTTGGTTCGGTTTAATTGGACGTAGTTATATTGGTTGATGAAATATTTATTTATATCAAATGGCAGGCGCTTTGATGGACATCATTTGCCATTTAGTTGACTTCAGGCTTCACAGAGAGGGGAAGGAACATCGAGGGGAAAACAGGTCGAGAGGAGGGAGGGAAGGGAAGAGTGTTTCAAAGATGTGAAAGAGACAGACAGGTATTAAAAAGGCGAGGCTAGTAATGTGGAAGTAATCAAATATGACATACAGCGGGGTCATGGTAGTTTGAAGTCAACTGCCGCTTTGATAGACTTTTTTGCCGTATGAGAATACGTTGCCCGGGGTGCACCACATGGAGGTAAGTCTATCGCACACCCCTGGTTGATGAAATAATAAACTAAGAATAAGATTAATGTAGACAACTTTACACCCATTCGTTTTCAAAGCTTAGCTCCACCCGAATGGAAAACCTTCAAATATCTCAAGTCATGAAATTCCCAAGGATAAGACCAATCTGGTTTCAATACTAAATTCGAGCATAATTTGACCTCTTCTGCCTCAGCAAATGTTGTAATGAAAATTGAGCATATTTCTGCCCAAATTCTTTAACTAAAGCGATCGTCTGACCATATAAACTAAATGGATTTGATTCGTACTGTCACAAAAAGGCAGTCTTTTCAATTGAATAATAAATAATGTAGAAGAAAAAGAAGGATGATAGATCCTCCACACGACTGGTTCCTGGGGCTCCAGCTTTGAGAGAAAAGTCGAAAAATAGTGACGCTTTTAAATAATTTCATTAAAGGATGGTAGCAATATTACAATTCCGCCATATTCCACTAGACAGGACACGGGTGGACATTAAGGCAGGTATGAAATGGAAGTTGTGTTAAAAATAAAAATAATAATTCAGGTCTCTTCGGTGTTCTCCCTTATGAAAAAAGTACTTTTTGCTCTGCAAAGGGTAAAATTAACGATAAAAAAGATAATTACCAATGATTATGACACAAGTATCTTATCATTACGTCTTTTAAATTGAGTAACCAAAAACCTGTAAACATTCCTCAAATTTGTATTTTTAGTTGAAATCAGGGTTTCAAAATCAACGATTTATGGCTAATGTCCCTTTGCATATGAACCGCATACTACTCAGTTGGGCGGATGCCTAACTAAAGGAACAGGTGTGACAATTTGTCTCATGGGATTCGAAAGTTTTAAATATTCTCTTTTCACCTCGGAAGAGGTTGTGGCTTTATTTGACTGCTTCCTCAAGGCATCATTAGGAAAAAAATCATCAATAGTAATGGGAAAATTATGGTTGTATAGCCCTTTAAACACCTTCCCTTCTTTTTTAAGACTCAGAGTGGCAGAAAATCGGGCACTGGAAGTCCTTGTTGA